AGAGCCCCCCCGGCCCCCCAGGCCCCCTCACCCCGCGGTTTTCATCTGGCACCAGGCCAGCAGCGCGTCCTTGGCCGATTTCCTCTCCCGGGTGTCCCCGGTTTCCACACTGATGTCCTGGATCTGGGGAGGGGGGGGGGAGCCCAAAAGTGGGGTCAGGGACCCCCAGAGCAGGTCTGGGACCCCCGGGGAGGGTCCAGGGCCCCCATAAGTGGGTGTGAGGCCCCTGCAGCAGCTCCAGGGACCCCCCAGAGGGTTCAGGGTTCAGTAACTTTGGGATCCCCGTGGTGGGTCCGGGGACCCCCCTCAGTGGGTGCAGAGAACCCACAACTGGGTTCAGGCCCCTCCCAGGGCAGCTCCAAGACCCCCATAAGTGGGTTCAAGCCCCCAGGGCAGGTTCAGAACCCCCACAGGTGGGTCCAGGACCCCCAATAATGAGGTGCAGGGACCCCCAAAGTGGGTCTGTGGCTCCTGTGGCAGGTTCAGGACCCCCATAAGTGGGTTCAGGACCCCAAAAGCGGGTGCAGGGACTCCAAGGCAGGTCTGGGACCCCCCTCTGTGGGTTCAGGGCAGGCCCAGGACCCCCCTGAGCAGGTCCATCCCCCCCCCCCCCGGGGCCCCCCCCCCCCCAGGTTTGGGGGTACCTGGAAGCGCAGGATGATGGTCCAGACGAGCCCCAGGGTGATGCGGGGGTTCCCGTCCACGATGTCGTGGGACCCCACGTTCTCCAGGTGCACCCTCTGCTCCCGCAGGAACCTCAGCGCCTTCTCCACGTTCTCCAGGCAGTGGATCCGCATCCGGCCCCGCGTGGGGCGCGGCTGGGGGGGCACCGACCCCTCAGGGACCCCCCCAAGGGTTGGGAAACCCCCTCAGGGACCCCCCCAGGGGAAGGGAAACCCCCTCAGGGACCCCCCTGGGGCAGAGAAACCCACCCTAGGGACCCCCTGGAGCTGGGAAACCCCCCTCAGGGACCTCAGGGACCCCCCCATGGGGTGGGAAACCCACTCTAGGGACCCCTCAGAGCTGGGAAACCCCCTCAGGGACCCCCCCAGGGGAAGGGAAACCCACCCTAGGGACCCCCCCCC